ACCTGCAAAGATGTTCGAAATCAATCCAACCGTTTTCAAGATACAGCCCTTTAAACATTGTGCTCACAAGATTTTGTCAACTTTGTTGTTTAATATTGTATCTGCTGCCAGAGGGCACTTATCAAAAAACTGGCAAAAACGTCTGGAGATATTGATATCAACTTACTAAAGGCCTATACAGAAATCCGAAAAATAAATTATTGTCAATAGGGCAAACATCCATACTTTTTGTATTTTTGCATCAATCTATTATTCACCCAGTATAACTTCAAAAATGCATTTCTTCGAAAAAAATATTCTTGTCCCACATGGTCTACAACATGGACTATCGAATACCACAAACCGCATTGAAAGCAAAAATAAAATAAAAAAGTTATTACAAAGTGAATATAGTGCTAAAAATTGCTTGTCCCGTTTTTTTGGCGAGCAGTTTAGTATGAAGTGTTGTCAATATTCTCAGAAGTTTATAATAATTTTATTAAAAAAAAGTTCCACTAGGAACAAGTGCTAATAGAAACTCGATTTTATCTGAGAAGATTTTCTGTTTGGAGATTATTTGACACTATTTGAAATTATTCGACACTGTAATCCAGTGTAGGTATCTCTAATAGGTTTCCAATGCAGCAATATTCAGGAGACAAAAATCTCAGAATTGGGTGATTCGTTTTTAAATTCCGCAAAAAAATTTGAATCAGTTGCTCGATATTATGTAGGCTTGTATGTAGGATAATTTAATTGAAATATGACATCACATGCTTAAGTTTAATTCGTAACACGCCAGTTTCGCGAAAACAGTGAAATGTGCTTTCGCGTGATAATTAATGCAAGGCTGTTTTGAATTAAAACCACTCCTAAAAACGACCAAAATTTGCACGAAATATTAAAAGTTGACTCTGGAATTAAGGATGAGAAACCGCAACTAAAACCGCGATTATTATGCCAAATAAAGATTATAATAATGGTTGATGAGTGTTTAAAAAAATAGCATAAGACTGTTGTGCATGTAAGAAAACGCTAGACTTTCAACAATAAAAATAGTTTATTTCAAATTCACAAAAATATCAGGACGACGATGCGTTCAACATGCTGTACAAAATGCAAGTCCCTGTCGAAAATCACTAAAACTACCTAGTCTAAAACCTAACTCTTTTTTGAAGAGCCCTTTCAATGTTACCGAAGTAACAATGGGTCGGGTCATAAACAGTGAATCATACAACCTAAATAATAAAACCAAGGGATCAACTATGGTTTTGCACAAATCCTTTTTGCGTCGCTGTCACGTCTCTATTTTTGGGGTATCAGATTCTCGCACGGCCAACCTGACACATAATTCGTTCTCGAATTAACAGGAGAACGGCCAAAATCTGAAACAGAAAAAAAAAAGGCAACAGCTCCGGTTTTGTTTTGTCATTAAGCAAATATGGAGCTGTGAGCCGACTACGAGGCCGACCGTGAACGACACAACCAGAGATAATGAAAATACGCAGAATTCAAATCATATCAACGCAGTAACTAAAAATCATATCATCATAGAAATCAAAGTAAATCATCGTAATAATCAAATTATATCATCTTAGAAAACGAAAAATATCATCATAGAAATCCAAGTCTATCATAGTAGAAATCGGAATATATATCATCGTAGAACTCAAAGTATATCATCGTAGAAATCAGAATATATATATCATCGTAGAACTCAAAGTATATCATCGTAGAAATTAGAGTATATATCATCGTAGAACTCAAAGTATATCATCGTAGAAATCAGAGTATATATCATCGTAGAACTCAAAGTATATCATCGTAGAAATCAGAATATATATCATCGTAGAACTCAAAATATATCATCGTAGAAATTAGAGTATATATCATCGTAGAACTCAAAGTATATCATCGCAGAAATCAGAGTATATATCATCGTAGAACTCAAAGTATATCATCGTAGAAATCAGAGTATATATCATCGTAGAACTCAAAGTACATCATCGCAGAAATTAGAGTATATATCATCGTAAAACTCAAAGTATCATACAACACACACCATCCAGCTTTTAATGGTTTCGTACTTCATGCAAAGCGTATAAGCTTTCAACACAAACAACAATACGCAAAGCGTGCAAGCTTTCAACGTTTCCATACTTCATGCAAAGCGTACAAGCTTTCAACATAGAGCTACAACGTAAAGCGTCCGAGCTTTCAACGTTTTCATAATTCATGCGAAGTGTAGAAGCTTTCAACACAGAACAACACACAAAGCGTGCATGCTTTGAATGTCTTAATATACACAATCTTTCTCGCTAGTGACTAAAATGTGCAAGAACTAGACACAAACTACTGACATAACATTATCATCATCCCTTCCAATCATTGTCAGATGTGATGGCAAAAACAGTGTGACAAAAACAATCAATATCAACACAGTGCTCAAGCTCCAACCAACATACAATGCCTTTGTGACAAACTCCAGAATTCATGCTAGGCATCTAGCTGAAAATACAGAAACGTCACCTATAAAAGCCATCCAGTGGAAATTACCTATGACTGCTGGAAATAACTGCCAGTGAATCTTCAATTGCCAGGTTGAAATCTCTTAAACTATCTAAAATCAACATCGTTGATCTAAACGTGGCACAGCGTCGACTAAACCAATTTTCCGCTGAACTGGATAAACTTATCCAAGAACCAATCGTATCAAGACACAGTACAGTCAATGGTTCACCTCCGCTAATATAATCATGCAAAATATACGAGCTTTCAACACAGAATAAGACGCAAAACGTCCTAACTTTCAATTTTTTAGTTTAAAAGCTCACATCTTTCATGTGCAGCAAAAGTCTCACATGCAAGGAAAATATAAACTCTGTAAATAAGTTAATCAAAAGCTGTAAACTTTTTCAAATGTAAAAAAATAACAAGAACTTTTGATAGTCACTGGAAAAGGCTTTACACAGTCCGCATAGACTATATACCTGAAAATGGATCGGCTCATTGTCGATAAGATGCAATAAACCCTTCATGAGTCATGGGACCCATGTTGTCTTTGTTTACAATACATTCGAGATAATAATGGTCACATTACATTTTCACAAATTTCAAAACAAAAATTGGTAATAAAAAAAAAACGTTTTTTTTTTTTTAATTACCAACTTCACATTCGTCGTGAAAACTGAAAAATCTTAATGGGGCTAATCGACTAACTATTAGCAAGATAAATGGGAGGTTTGTCAAAATCCCGAACATCAAATTCTAGATCCAAAGGATCGAACATTCTATCATAATATTGCAGTAAACAAATCAATCTATTCAACAAAAATTGATTTCCTGAAATCCTGGAATGGATTACGCAAATGTTTATCTTTAATTTCCAGACTAAACCATTCCCCATGCCTTTTAACGTTAATAAAACTGAGTCTAAATGACATCTTATTTTTTTCCAGAAGTTTCTAAAGTAGTTCAAAATTTGCTCAAGTCTCTATCAAAAAGTTAATTTTAATTTACAATAAGTTGGCATCTAACAAAATAATAAAATTTGAAAATTACTCTTTTCGAAATTCCCCCATAAAATCAAGGAAATTTTGTGTTCTTTTTTTTAACTCAGACATTTCTCAATTCTAATATCATTGATAAATAAATCACTGAGTGAACCAATGTTCCTAATTACTACTGAACGCTGTAGTTTTTACGTGAATATTAGCGAATTCTAAAAACAATTTCTAATATTCTGTCAATCAAAGGATCGAAATAAATAAATGGAAAAACATAATTTTTTTTCAAGCATACCTACTCACAGAAGGATTTCGGTTTAATGGTATAGTGACTTGAAAAGCTTTACTTTTCAATTCCGTCTAGTAGAACAAGGCTGGAAAACTCGCACCCCATGATTTTTCCACAGGCTTTTACATAGAAAACCATCCCTTGGCCTCCTCCAGAAAAAGTGGCGGTACTTCGCTTGCTTGCTTCATAAAGATGTCACTAGGAATTTCGGTCGCCAACACAGGATCCGAATTTGGAAAAACTTCTTTTATTTTCTAGAGCGTCGCGGCTAGCACTTTCGCTAATTGCTCCATAATCACAAAACTCGCGCTTGGCAATTTAATTTTCGGCACTAGTAAACTTGTGGTGAATTTATCCCACTTCTGATGTAAGAAAACGCTAGACTTTCAACAATAAAAATAGTTTATTTCAAATTCACAAAAATATCAGGACGACGATGCGTTCAACATGCTGTACAAAATGCAAGTCCCTGTCGAAAATCACTAAAACTACCTAGTCTAAAACCTAACTCTTTTTTGAAGAGCCCTTTCAATGTTACCGAAGTAACAATGGGTCGGGTCATAAACAGTGAATCATACAACCTAAATAATAAAACCAAGGGATCAACTATGGTTTTGCACAAATCCTTTTTGCGTCGCTGTCACGTCTCTATTTTTGGGGTATCAGATTCTCGCATGCATGAATTAATACATAAAATTGTTTTGGAAAATAGGGAAAAAGCAAGAAAATTATTCGCAAAATGTGTCAAAAAATTGCGTCCTATTTACTTAATTCAGTAAGAACATCTGGAATATCATGACCCGTATATATTTTTAGACAGACAAATAGGTCGCCACTGGCCAATAAAAATCCATAATATAAACTTAGGCCATACTTAAATCTATATTGTCAATATTGAAATTCTACAGGCTCTGATAATGCAATGGCTCTATCATTAACAAGTGTGTAAAACGAACGTAATTTAACACTTCGAGTGTCGGATCGAAGGATATCCGGCCGGATTTTCTTATGGGATTGTCGTCCTCGAGGCGCCAATTAAATAGGTGTCGTCTTACATACTTAACGGGAACATTCAAATGTAACTTGATATTTGTATTATGCATAAAAGGATTGCTCATTTTTGAGATTTAAGTGCACTACCTTCATTAGTTTTGTTAAGGAATTCATTGCAAAAATGAACCCTGATTGATTTTCGTTTTCTATACACAAGTATTTTTTTTTTCTAGAAATTTCCATGGATTGGTCCGATCACGCCCTCTGGTGGCCCGCACAAAATATTTGGTTGACGAGGGACAAGGTCTACGCTGGATCAATGCGGAGTCCATGCGGACGCTTTATTACATTTCACACCGATGCACAAAATTTTAAGGGTTCAATTGCCAGATCTTAGGTAAGAACATTGGGTTTTTTCAATAGGGTTTTAAATTATATACGTCAGAAGCAATGAGATTCTGGCGTATGTTCAGGGATTGTTTGTAGTCCTCCATCAGAATAAGAATCACTGAAAATTTCAGCTTCCTATATCTATAATAAACAGAAAGTTACGATGTTTCAAAGTTTTCAAAAATTTAAATCATAAGGTAGCTACCTTAAGGTAGCCTTTCGATGGTTGCGGCGGATTGCTGGCCGCGACTGACGCAGCTGCGACTTGCGACCAGTGCGATCTGTCGCATCTGTACCTCTCCTTTCGACAGATGCGACTTTGTGTACGACACGACTGACACGATTCCTTATGTCAAAGGCTTATGTGATCAGTTATTTTCTATCTGTCGGTGTATCCAGTACAATAAATTCTAATAACTTGAGATATTACAATTTTACTAGATGAGGAAGAAGATGATGACGATTTAATTTTACATCACGTATCAGTGACTAAAAAAAAAGAAAAATATTATTGGTACTTTATATTAGCACAACGAAAATAGCACACATCAGAAAAACTAGAGTACTAAATTCGGGCCTATTTAGTGCTAATTTAGGGCCGAATTTATAGTCATTCCTTGAGTCTGCCTTAAAGGTCGTGAGTTCAGAATGGACCCTTGGTACTATTTGACAAGTTAGTCATGTCAATTCTAAACGTTCAAGGCTTCCTTAAGGTCCAAGGAAACGTCAACGAGCGACTATAAATTCGGCCCTTAGTTATCAGGTCAAAATACTACTAAAAATAGTAGTGAAGTTACAAAAATTCCCATAGAGCTGAAAATTGGTATCAATGTTCGGAACACCATTATATGAATGTTCAATAATCCCCATCGATCCCGTACCTGGATTTTTTTAAATTCAAGGTCAAGGCCTATTCCAAGGTCCATAGTGATCCTGTTTAATTTAAAACTATTGGCTAATAAAATAGTTATTTATGTATCAAGGGAATTATGCAGGTGTTAATACCCCAGGGCAACGTTTGTGTCCCGAGGGCCTCCGGCCCGAGGGACACCAATTGCCCGTGGGTATTAACTCCTGATAATTCCCGTGGTACATAGATAATTTTATATCCTACTGAATTTACTGTATTCTGTCTATTTTTATAAAGGAATAAGCCATAAATCAAAATTTCTATTTTTTGTCAAAGTGTTACCTATTCAAGGTAAAAGCGGGAGTTATGGAAATCCTTAACTCCCTTGGGAGTTAAGACCCTGTTTATGATTATCGTAACCAAGGTATTATATGGTTTTAATAGTTCAGTAGGATATAAAATTATTTTATATCCTACTGAACTATTAAAACCATAAAAATACGGAAGCTTTATGTCCCTATTAACGTTATAAGGCCCGTAAATAGCCAAATACTGGCCGCCAAGGCTATTATCAGGGACGTAGCAAGTCAAAACCGGGCCCTGCTGCAAGACTAGAGCAAAGCGGGTCCCCTTCACCATGGGCATCGGAATGTTCAAATTTTCAAATTTATTTACTGGATGGGGGGGGGGGGGGGTTATGGGCAAAATGGCTCATGGCAAATTCGTAGGCGAGAAATTTTTGGAAGGTTAACAGACGATAGCTATTTTTGTAACAAGTACCTGAAATGAGGTTTTTCGGCAACCGTTCTGAACGTACATACTTTTCGAACGCGTTTTACTTGAGAAAGTATGCCTTTTTAAGCCTAGGCCGGGATGTGATTACATACTTTCCGGCCTAGTCTGGAAATTATGTTCTTTCCGGCCAAAACATAGTATACTTAATACTCCCGGAAAGTGTTTTTTCGGACTCGCCGACTGGAATCTTATCTAATCGTCCAAAAAAATAGTACTTTCCAGACTCCTCACGCCATATACTATTTTTGATGAGTATAAAAAACTCCAAAAATTGATTGAATTCCGTTCACAAAAATGTGAAGTAAATGTGACATTAAAAATTTGAATTTGATTACGCATTGGCATTGTTGTGGCAAGAGCAGCAGGTAATTTTTTTTCTGACTGCTATAACGACTTTTAGGGACTAGGCCGAAAATTTCGAACTGAAATGGGTCCGTAAAATAGACATTTTTGATAGCTAATACACGACTGAGATTGACAATTGACAATATTGACACGAGTAGTACGAGTACTAGGAGTAGGAGGACTGACTGAAAAGAAATCTGTAGAGATCGATATTACAATTTTCTTTTTCGGTTTAAAATTGCCAAAGCGAATATTGCTTGGGCGGGCGTAAAATGATTTTTTCATTTTTTTTTTCTTTGGATTTTCTTGTATGTTGTGTCCAAAAGGCGGCAGGACACGCCGTGCCCCGTCGGGGCCCGGGCCGCATAAAGGTAAGTAACACATACAATGGTAACACCCATTTAGCTCCCGTTCGCAAATTTGAATGTAACGTCTGATATCGCAACGGAGAGTTTCTTTATCGGATGTTACTTACCCTGGACAGATTTGCATTCACATAATGTTTAAAAGTAATGCCTTTATCAGTTACATAATATGTATAGATATAATATTATTAGTTTTTTATGTTTCAAACTTTTTGTATTTTATTAATTTGCTCGTTAATTCTTGCTTATAGGCCCTACTTTTTGTATTTCCTTTTGGTATCATGTACACATGTAGGCCCAAGTAAGAGAAAGAAGATTGAAAAAATTCAGTACGATGTAATGGCTTTTCGAAAGTATCTATGTTCCTTGTTGACCTGTTCTGAGTTCTAAATAATATTTTGTCTCAAAACAGCAAAATGTAAAAATCTTCTTTCTTTTATCTTGAGCATTTCACTGTTAATAATGTAAGGAGTAACATGTTCTCGTCTATTTATGTTCAATCTGTGGTTCAATATATACCTATCGTACACAATTGTTCTGAATCTTTTGTAGTCTATATATGTTATGTTCTGTAAGATTCTTTTCCAAACAGGCCAAAACAATAGGAAATTGGTTAACAACAAAAAAAATTACAGATCAAAAACAAAATTCCGGTTTTTTTGATATTATTAAATTCCTTGTTATTTAACAAAAAAAAATAACCAAATAAAAAAAGGTCATTTACAGTGTGTTATTTAAAAATGTGAAACGTGCCCTTCTTTTTGGATTTTTCGTTCTTCCACAACTATACAAATAGTGAAAAAGATGTTCTAAATTAAAATAAGTGTCCGAGGTTTTTCTAGAAACATTCACTGTTTTATTGTTTTTATCTGCTAAATTACGAACGCACAGTATAATTTATATTAATATAACAATATTAATTATATTTTGCACTTATATACTCATGTTTTAAAATTTCAATGCCCTAAAATAATTGTTAACAAGATGGTAATAGTAAATAGGCTTATCTAATACTGAGGGTAAGTAACACCCGATAAAGCGCACATCCATGCAACCACGGGTGTTACATTTAAAAAACCGAACTGTTGTCGAACGGATTGCCGAATGCTAAACAGGGTGTTACTTACCTCTATGCGCCCGGGCCCTTGTGCGCGGCACGACCTGTTGCTACGTCCCTGGCTTTTATTTACAATTTATCGGCCATGCTTCATTCAAAATTTTTTGTCATACTACAGACTCTCCTATCGGGGTATGTTTGGAAATAACGGCCGGTGGTCGTTATTTATATTTTAACTGGCGCGCTTCAGTACATATTGTGAAAATTACAACTTTTTCAGTTTTTAGAATCGTTATATCTCATAATCGGTGGCTTTTAGGAAAAAAAGTATTGGGACATTTTTTATAGATATCTAAATATGATCCAGAATTTTTGTCTGAACTAATTATGAAATGATAAAACCGTTTTGCTGAAAAACGCGAAAAACCCATTATTGAGACCATTGACCTTGAATTTAAAAAAAATCCAGGTACGGGATCGATGGGGACTTTTTAGCATTAATTTATAATGGAGTTCCGAACATTCATACCAATTTTCAGCTTTATGGGAATTTTTGTACCCTTGCATGTTCAAATTGACCGGAGTATAGTATGAAACAAAAAAAATGTATAGCTCTATTTTAAAAAAAATTACATGCATGTGTGCCAGCTCAAGATTAAGCTGGCACACTTTAGTTAGATAAGGTCGAATCTTTGAAAATCTAGTACCTCATATTTAGTGCTAATTTATTACATTCATGGCACGCCTAAAAAACTAACATTGATGTATTTATTACGAAATAACCACGTAGTGCTAACTTAAGATTTGAATTAGCACACATACATTGAATCGACCGCGCGAGAACGGAATTCGCATGCACATATTTAGTGCTAATATATAGTACTTTATAAACGACGACCCGAAAAGAATCAGTATCACACCAGCACAAAGCTAGCACTTGTGTGCTTGCTTGGTGTTTAAGTTAACGAACATTATCACCGATGACGCGATGAAACTAGAGTACTAAATTAGCACACATTTAGTGCTAATTTCGAACGTTAGTTTGGGTTGATTTGGGTTCCCCTCCAAGGAGCTGTGATACCTTGACGTTGGTGGAGGGGCATACCGAATGGCCATGCATTTGACTGGTCAGCCGCTGCTAAGGACAGCTTAACCTCAGGGGCTCACACCAAGTGAGTACGGGAGCTGGTATTCCCGAGACACCCTAGCTGAATCTAGACCTTCTTTCAACTTGTCTTGGGTCTAATCCCTGCGCTTTCTTCTTTCTTGATCCCCCTTGATCAACTCTTCTTTTCCAGCCCCCGACGTTATTAGAGCAATTCGAGGGCTAGGGGGTTTCTCTTTCAATCACACTTCGATCCCTCTTCAATAAAAGGAAAAACTAATGATGAGCAGCAATGATAAGGGCAAAGAGCTTATGGTGCAGGGGAGGGACACCCCAGTACCGGTCTGGAACACTGGTGGAAGTGCAGAGTGCAGGTCAGCCCCGACCGACACTCGACAGCAAGCAACTGTACAGCGCTCTTGGTTGGGAACCAGGCTGGGGCGCAGGTGACAACTACTACAACCAAGAAGCCAGACCAAAGGAGAAATAAACTAAGCGATCGCAGAGGGTCGGTATCGGTCGTAGACTTAACCTGGGATGAAATGAAAAATGAATCAATTGAGGCAAGAGGAGAAAGAGCCCTCTCTCTAAGCTCGGGCACGACAAAAAAAAAGGAAGATCGGAGATACATCAACTGTAAGTAAAAAGGGAGAAATATACAAAAGAAATGAAAGCACGGAGCACTTCATCCTGAACGAAACATTAGACCAGATTGCTGCGATAGGCACTGTTCTAGAAAAACACATGGAACAAAATACAAAGCGGGAAATAAAAGAGGCTGTCAGAGTCAGGAAATTAAGAAGACAGATAAATACGATAACAAGCTGCAAGCGCTAATATGAAGAAATGGCTGCAACAACTCAGATATGAGAACATTGAAAAGATGCCTTTTAACATTGATACCCAAACAAGCCCAAGAAAAGATGAACAAAATAATGAAGCGAAGATGCAAATCCAGTCAAACGCTCAAGAGCTTGAGAACTGGTCGAGCCATTGGGAGCGATCCTGCGGTGTGCCAGGCATGCGTGGCAAAACGCATGGAGAACTTAAGCGCGCACGCGCAGTCCTAGTTCAGAGATGTCAGCCAGTTGATATCCCTGGACGCGTTCCAGTCGGCAGAAGTAAAGACTTAGCTAGAAGATGCCTTAAAAAGCACTCGATAGGAATTTGGAAATCCGCTCAGAACGAAGACCCAGCAATGTAAAAGTGGTTTACGTAGAACCTGACGACCCAGAGATGAACGGGAGTATCCAGAGTATGTTCAAGGAAAGATTTCCTGAGCTAGAAGAAATCGAGGGGGAGCTCAAAATTCTCGAACAGGAGACGACAACCAAAACAAGACAAAGCAGAAAACAACAAGAAGCAAAAAATTATCAAGATAAATACGGAGCACAAGGATCAAGAATATAGGAAGGCCTTCAGCAAATCAAAGCAAACACAGAGGAAGATCAATGGGTTCCTTTTCATCAACTTAAGACAATAAGCCTGATTTAATTCAGAAAAATGGTAGAAGCCGTGTTCTGCGATACAAGAACAAACATAGAAATCTGCACTACTGAACAGGCGATAAACGCAGCAAAGGAAGTGGAAAACGGAACACTTGGCAGAACAGGGGACAGAAAAGAGAGAAAAACCTACGCCTTAATTGTGGACAATGAAGACGAATCTTTAAAGGAAACAATAAGGAAATTCAAAGAACGAGTAGGGAAAACCGACCGGACTAAACATAAACACTGTTTGAGAAACCAAGGAGGGAAAGGTGTTGATCACGATGAAAAAAGATAAAGAGAGCTTGAATAAGCTAAGAAGTAAGAATGGAGGTAGAAAAGACATTAGAAAGCGCTAAGATTAGAACCTCTGGAATTAACAAACCACAAATGGCCCTGCATATAAAGGAAATGGAGGTCACTAACCACCAAAGAGATCATCGAGGCAGTTACCGACATAGTTGTTCTAGTGGAAGCAGAGGAGTGTGAGCTAAGCAACTTAAGGCAAAATAGGAATGGAACCCAGAACATAACCCTAGTGATATCCGAAAGCAAAGGACAAACACTGCTAAGAAATAGAAAAATCAGCATAGGACTGTCCATGAGCCACATGAAAAAAAGGCTAAGAGTGGGAAGATGCCACAGATGCCTGGAGTACGGGCACGAGGCTAAGGGATGCGATGGGCCGGATCGTAGTAAACAATGCTACAAATGCGGAAAGGAGGGCCACAACATAAATGACTGCACTGAGAAAGAACAATGTTCGATCTGCCAAGAAGAGTACAGAGGTGGATCAGGCAAGTGTGCTGCTTTTCGCAGAGCACTCTCTGTAGCGAGGAAAGAAAATAGGGAAAGTAGAACTAGCCAGAAACCGAACTAGCCATGAACTTAATGCAAATACACTTAAACAAGTATGCAGCAGCACACGATCTGATACCAATGAATTAGAGAAAGTGAGATAGATGTAATATTAGGCCAGAAACCATATAGGAATAGAATAAGTGACGTAATCTGTGAAGTAAAAGGTAATGCTTTCGTAGATGTAAGAAGCTCTAGGGTAACAAAATGCCTCCGTGGGCAAGGGTTCGTCCTCGTCGAACTGGAAAAAATTGCTGTGGTATCATGCTATTTATCTCCAAATGGAGAAATCATGGATTTCGAGAGTAGTAGGTCGCATAGAAGCAAGCATGAGGCTTACAGACAAAGAAATTATCATGGGGGGAGATCTAAACGCCAAGACGATGGTCTTCGGATCGACGATAACGAACCAAAGGGGCAATGTTCTAGAAGAATGGCTGGCGGGCAAGGAATTGCACATCCTAAACACACCAACATTTGCTAGACGAAACGAAACATCAATAATTGATTTCACCGTGGCTACACCAAAACTCAGCAAGCACATATAGAAATGGAGAGTGGCAGCGGATTTGGAAAACCTAAGCGACCATCGCACCATAACCTAAGAGATCGGCGGAAAACCTGCAAGATTAACAGAAAGAAAGCTCAGAGGGTGGATAATAGGCACAAAGGCAATGGAGAAACTAGCCAGTCAGGCAGACACAATCTTCCTAACTACCAGACAACCAAATCCGACCACTCTGATAAAAGACATCACAAAGGCGTGCAATAAGTATTTTAATAAAGCAGGGCTGAGAACAATCACAAACCAGACTACTTGTGGAACCAACGAATTGCGGACAAATGGAAAGAATGTAACAGGCGAAGAAGAGAACTAACCCTTGTTAGTTGCCTGTTTTCATGCCCTTGCAAGAGGACAAAGCAACACCGAAATTGATCTGCAAAATATCAGAGAAGAATATAAGGATGCCAGAAGACAGCTTAAAAATGAAATAAAGAACAGTAAAAAGCAGAAATGGAGGGAGGTATGCGAGGAGTAAGAGGAAAATATTTGGGGCAAAGCCTACCAAATCGTTACAAAAAGATTTAAACTCAAAAACACATGCAAAATCGATGCAGAAACTGTTGCCCAGCAAGTACAAAAACTTTTCCAAAAGAGACCAAAAATTGCAGAAATTGACTTGCATCTATCGGAAAATGAGGTAGAGAAGTTCACGGAACTCCAGATTGCCATGAAGCAAATGAAACTCAAAAAGGCCCCGGGACCAGATAATATTACGCCAGAAATCCTATAAGCACGTGTGTTAAAGTGAACCCAGAAGTCTTTCTGCAAGTATACATCAATGGGTGCATAAGCAGCTGAGTCTTTCCGGTGATCTGGAAGTCTGCCAGATTGATACTTATAGAAAAGAAAAAAAAGAAAAGCAATTAACCAAGTTCCTACAGACCACTTTGTCTAATAAATACGGCAGGAAAACTTCCGGAAATACTCATTCGAAACAGGCTCGTAGAGGAAGCCCAAGAGAAAAAACATGATTAGCCAAAACCAGTATGGTTTCAGGAAAGGGAAATCCACCTTGGACGCTTACAGGTGCGTTAGAGAAATATGGGAGCTAATAAACAGCAGAGCGGTGAAAAATCGGGACTTCTTCTGTATAATGATAATGCTAGACATATAGAATACTTTCAATACTGCACCATGGGAAGGCATTAAAAAGGCCATGGCATACGGAGAAATCAGCAGGTATTTGATTGCGATAGTATACTTTTGATCTGTCGGAGAGGAAAATAACTACGCCAAACGATGTCCAGCACGATATGACATGTGGGGTTCCCCAAGGATCCATCCTCGGACCCTTATAATGGAACATATTCTACGACCAAATCTTACAAGTGGACACATAAGAAGGAGTAGGACTGATTGCATACGCGGACGATCCAGCGATTATAATAAGGGCAAGGACGAGAGAGGAATTAGAGGACAAAGCGCAGTGGGCAGCCAAGACTGTGATCGAAAAGCTGACAGAGATGAAGCGTGTGTTGCAACCAGGATAATCGAAATACTAATTATGGGTGGCAGAAGAAAGTTAATTGAGACCGAAATACAACTGGATGGAACAACAATACATAGTCAAAGGGCAGTAAAGTATCTGGGTGTACACCTGGACAAGGGCCACAAGGACCTGAGAATGACAACACATGTAATTCTTCAAACAGCGGAAAAAGCAAACAGGATGATAAACTCGCTGATGAGAGTAATGCCAAACTTGGGGGGGGGGGCAAAAAGCAACAAAAGGCGAATACTGGCCAGTGCTGTGATCTCAGCACTCCTGTACGCTGCACCAATTTGAAGCACTGCAATAAGGTACAAAAAATACCTGAACATATTAGAAAGGGTGAACAGACCACTGCACTTGGAATAATCTCTGTATACAGAACCGTCTCGGCGGAGGCGTCGCTAGCGATAGCGGGGCTACTCCCGATCGACCTGACAATAAGGGAAAGATGTGTGATACACAGCTGATTACAGACTGGCAAGCAAGGTGGGAATCATATGATGGCTGGGCTAAAAAATTTATAAAGGACTAGCTAATGACCCGCTGCGTTGCCAGCGTGTAAATAAATTTTGAAATAATACACTTCTTTTCAAATTTTGTTGTTGATTTTCTATTTAATTTTTTTTTTTTTAAATCAGAGTCGCTTGCCAGTGAGTTCAGTGACGCATTTTAAGCACTAATCTGGGTCTATCGAATTCAGCTTATATAGAGATACGTGGTAGTAATTCAAGATCGGTGCAGCCGTTCTCGAAGTCAAAAAATAATAAAGTTACGTCGGTTGAATGCAAGCCTAAATAAATGAAATATGGCAACGTTGTTTCATGCTGTCAAAAAAAGTTGGGTTATGTTGTCATGTAATGTGAATGAGTTTGTTTACAATTAAATTAATAATTAATTCAAAATTAATTTCTTTTTCCGAGATGCGTAACCTATCCACAAACCTTCCTTCGGATGGCCATAACAACCTACCAAAGTTTCATCCTAATCGGATAAGTGGTTTTGGAGCGCATATCCGGATACCCCACGAACTTTGATTTTTATATATATAGATATACCGAGATGGATCAGCAGGAACGGAGGCGAGATAGATTATCATACCACACAGGCAATGACGGGACGTGAAGTCTTCGGGACCTTATCCAACTAGAGTGTGCCAGCTCAATCTTAAGCTGGCACACATGCACGTATTTTTTTTTTTTTTAAATTGAGTTTTTTGTATTAGATTAGTACTAAATAGGCCCGAATTCAATATTCTAGTTTTTATGATGTGTGCCATGTTCGTTGTGCTAATTTTTGAGCCCTAAATATTATCTCTTATAAACTTGTCTCAATATGCAGAGAGGCTGCTGTCATAAATTGATGGATTTTTAACCACATATTCCATCAATTTTTTATCATTCTCGCTCGAGAACGATGCCATTTTCAATAATAAATGATAATTCTTGCTGCCCAATGCATGCGGCCACTACGAACAATGCGACCCGACTGCTCCTAGAGCGGAGGAGTCGTAACGGCCGCCTTGGTCGTCGGTGTCGCACTTGTCGCGGTCGGTTTTTAAAGGAGACCTATGTGAATTCATAAAAGCGGTACACACACGACCGGCCGCATTGTCGCTTCAATCGGAACCGTCGCACTGGCCGCGACCATTGAAAGGCTACCGTACTAAAATGATGAAATTTTTAATTTTTTTATGTTTTGTCTTAACAATCATTTGGGACCCCCTAAACTCCATGCACTAAATTATTCTGAGACTTGAAAGCGGATATCTATGAGTCCAAATGAGCTGAAATGTTTAAGGATTGTAGTCCTCTACAAGGATAATCGCTGAAAATTTCAGTTTTCTATCTATAATAGAAAAGAAGTTATGATTTTTCAAAGTTTTCAAAAGTCTAAATCATAATGTTTTCTCCATCAAAAAAAGAAAGGGGTTGTACTAAACTAATGCTGAAACCATGTGAAACTAATCTGATATTTGCATTTTTGAAAAATAAAGCAAATTCAACTAGGTACTCAATCTTCTGGTCTGTTGACAATGAGTAAAGTTTCTACCATCGTATGTACCATCATCCTCTGCCAGGTCCATTAATCACTTACTCATGGGTATTTTAACTGTAAAAACGACCTGACCTATCATATTTTTCAATTTTACCTTGTCCATCGATTTTACACTGTCTTTAAAATACAAGCGCAGGCAAACGATTCCACTATCTTGAAATAGTTAGCAGCTTTACCCATGAAAATATTTGAGAAAAAATTGAACTGTAGAATTTTGTAGGAACAAGTTTTGACCCAAACCCAAGCAGAATCATATGTTAAATTAATCGCTAAATAAATAACGAGTATCCCTGTTTCTAGGTATTTAGATATGAGGGTGGACTGCTCAATAAAAACCTTCTCTTCGGTGGTGCACGTGTGTAAAGAATTAGGAATCAGGCATCCGGAAGAATTGTCGTTTTGTAAGCCCTTGGAACCCAATCACCTAAAGTACAACTACAAAGATATGCCAAAGAAGAAACACGATCAAAACGGTACTCATCATAGAAATGGACATTTGGCGCCAGATACAAATACATTTATAGGTAAGTATTTAGTTACTTGAAAAATATTGTAATAATTTTATTGTTTTTTTGTAGCAAACAGTAGTCCAGCCGGAAGCACAGGTAGTTTAGAAAATTCACAATTTATGTGCGCGCCAGTCACACCTTCCAGAGTACCGCCATCTTCGACGCCTATTAGTAGTCCAGCTGGAAATGTAAGGACTAATTTTTTTTGTATAATCATATATTGGCACCTACTATATTTACATTTTCAACCTAAATTCCTATTTTTATCCTCATTACGCCCAAAGGAATCCCACATTTCAAATTGTATAAATATCGTGTATGTAGGGGGGCGGGTAAAGTCAATGCAAGTGAGCAAACGTTGTTTGTTGACTTTGAAAATATTTACACTGAAAAGTGATTCCTAAAAATAAGTCATCGTTGATCGGTTAAGTTTCCGGTAACTTGTTTTTTTTGCAAAAAAAAATTGATATATGAATGTATATTTATGAAGATGCTTGAGTAATTTGAAGAAAAAAGCAGATCTTTTCAGATTCTGTCATGATAAGGCAATTATTCAGAATCAGTTCGAGATTGTTGAGCAGTAGAAAAATTTCCAACTGTTTTGCCACTTGTTCTAATGGTTGCAGTTCCCTTTAAACCATCCTTCCATTCAAAATGCCTCAATGCCTGTAGGTTCTGTCTTATTTCTATATTTTTTATTCAGTCTCTTTTAGCTACTTGATCTAATACTATCTCATAAACCTTATTTCTGTAGCTCTAATTTGCTCTTCTTGTCACATTCCACAACCAAGCATTTGTATATTGTTATTATTATTATTACTATTATTATTATTATGGTACAATGGTAAACAGTTTACACTGATGAAATTATTAGATTTTTTATTAGTTGAATATCCACTTGAAATAATGCACTCATACCGGTGTCGACCTTATTCTTGACAGAATTCAAACTCTGCGCGGTGACTGTAGAATTTGACAGGCTGTTCATGGGCTGTTCCATGGGTAGGCAATTCAATGTGCTAGGAAGTTTCTTCTTGGAAGCTTGACAGTTTTTCCCTGGCACAACTTTGAAGTATGACCTCGTAGATGGGGGATGTCATTGAAGGTTATGATGTCAAGGATGCAGGAGTAGCCATTTCGAATTATCTTGTATTGTTCGTCGATTTTTAACTGATACTTGCGGTATGAAGAGCGAGGGGGTGTTTCATATGGCAAAAACAGGTGTGACGTCAGGTAACCATTGGCGTTCTAATGTAAGGAGCCACCAGCTTACATTCCGTCCGAGTATCAGATTAAAATCGACGAACAATATGTCTTGATCAGATCTCCTGTCAGACGCCTTTCCCTCAAAGAAGTGAGTCCCAAAGTGGATAGTCGAATAAGGTACTTAATCTTCATTACGGAGTGATGGATGAATCTTTGATGCTCGTCTCGGCACACGCTATGAGGTACAGATTCCAAACTGAGTGGGCGTATTCTAGTTTTGGACGTATAAAATATTCAGACAGTTTCATAATGGTGTTACACAACTGGTCTTCAAAGGCCTTTTTCACAAGGTATATGTATGAATTGGATTTTGTGGCTATTTTTGTTGTTGCATCTCCAATTTCAGATTATAGGTCACTATGACACCTAAATCCATTTGTTTCCTCACATGGTTTAGCTCAACATTGTTTACTTTGTAGACATATTCAGTGGTATTGGTCCCAATGCTCAAGGTAGTACATTTTTCTTCGTTTAGCCTCATTTTCCAGATATTGGACCATACTTCTATACCTCTGAGATCTTCTTGCATATTTCTTGTGTTCTGCGGTCTTTGCATACAATTTCGTGTCGTCAGCAAAAAGTAGGATTTTGGTTTGGATATTTCATGTTATATCGCTGACATATACTAGAAAAAGTAGAGGGCCCAGTACTGATCCCTGGGGCACATCCTACTCAGGACTTTTCTTCTGTTTGAGAATGTTGCATTTATTCTTACTTGATAGTATCGGTTCAATAGAAAATTTGATACAAATTGTAGCAAGTTCCCAGCAATGCCAAAGTGATGCTGTGGCACACCTTATCGAACGCTTCCTCGAAATTGAGATATATCACATCCACTTGCTCATTATTGTCAAAGTCCCTTGTCCACTCGTCTATACATAGTGTGGCTGTGTGGTTGTAGTAGAACGCCCTGGAAGAAAGCCATGTTGGTACTTCAGTAATGGATTTTGCTCCAGTGAAAATGGGGTTAACTGTTTCACTACAATTTTTTCTATACACCTGCATAAATTGCATGTCAAACTTATTGGACGATAGTTCCATGGAGCGGTTTTGTCTTCTTTTTTGTATATTGGAGTCACAAACGATGTTGACCAAGTCTCAGGAAAGTTGTAAGCTTCAAAAATACTTCTCATGAGATCAGACAAGGGTTGGCACAATTTTACAGGAACACTGCTGGAATTCCATCAGAGCCTGGGCTGGATCCGTCTTCAACGATTTTATTGCTTCATACACCTTATCAGTAGATGAGTCAATATTTGACATCTGTGAAGTTGGTTGCACGTAGGTATTCCGGAATTTAGTGGCATTTCGTTTTGATTTCCTTTGGTGAATACCGTATTTATCGATATTTCCTTTCGATTTGTGAATTTTTCAATTAGTAAGTGATTTAACTATAATTGCATCCTATTATTTATTTCAGTTGTATTGTTTTAGGGTACATGGAAGAAAAACGGTTTTGGCACTACGGACCTAAACGGCACTTATTCACCAAACGTTACAAGCAATAGCCTAAGTCTTGAACATCTAAACGGCACATTTGACAGTAGTTTAGCTTCCAGCCCTCCAACGCCAGCCGCCGAGGCTAAGAGGCACCTCGTGAGGCCAAAAACGCTTGTCGAGAAAGCCAGGATGAATGTCGCGTAAGTAGCAAATAACATGCATAATAATAATTGTTACAGAAGTGTTGAAAATCAAATTCCTATATGTCAGTTTTATGAAATTCTATTGGAGCATTTCACACTTATGATAGGTGGTAACTAAATTCATAATGTGGGTGGTTGGCCAATTTGAAACAAGTCGTTTATTGCAACCGAACTACATCCAAAACTGCTTTCAGTGTCTTCCATAAACCTGTTAAGGTGGAAAATTATTATTATAGGCAGGATTTTTCAAAATTCAAAGACAGCGAGTTTGAGTCACACTAAACTTTATTTCTTGGAAGGCCAGTTATTTTTGTTTTCAAGTCAGCATTAAGGGCAGGCACTATGTAGAGTGGTGTCAGAGGCAGATCATTGATTGTAAATTATATTATCCCCAGTAGAGTTTATGCGGAAATGGGAAATCAAAACTGGAAACTGAATTGAACCTTGAGGACCCATAACAATACCATTTGGCCTTGGGTCAGCTTTTGGACGATCTTGGACAGTGGGGATGTTGAAACTAAAAGCGATGGATTATTGTTATTGGTATTACAACTTGTCAATAAAGAAATATCTTCATTAAATATGTCACACTTTTCATTTTTCAAAGGGCTAAAACATCCGTTCTAAACACTTCAACGTGGTAGCAGAGCATGGTTACAGGCTCAGAATTTAATTCTCTAGGATAGTTATAGAAAAGAAAAATGGACATGTGTAAGGCTCAGATTGGTTTACATTGGAATACATGGAAATACACACTATTCATTTTGTTGAGAGCAATTGAAGTTACACTGGATATAATAGAAGATAAACTAGTTCCGCCTAAACCCGTAGAAGAAAATGCAACATCAAAGGCAAAATCTACGTACAAAAAAGATTTGTTAGACTTTAATAAGCCTAATAGTAATGTCCTGATAATGAAGACTTTTACCATGACACAAGTAACTTTAAAAAAAGTTATTTTCTAATGCTAGAGAGGTTTGGTATTACGATGGCAATGTCGAGGACAAAACGTCTGATGTTTGTATGCAATTTTTCAGTTACATATGACAAGCTGATGATGATATTTCAACTCACACCGCAAACCTCAAGAATTTACGGAATGACCTACAAAAAGAAATCTTCGAAGATAAAATGAGTGCAAAAAACCCATACAAGTGCGATTTACCATACGTTTAACTGATTTGCAAAATTTTGGAGACTACCTGCTGAATATTTCTCATTTACATGTAGCTGGATCTCAATGTAATAGAACTATAGACAATTTAACAAATCAGCTCTGTGCACATGAGAAAGCATTGTCCAGTAAAACAAAAACGAAGCAGGAAGTATTGCAAATATCAAATAAGAAGCGCAATTTTACCTGTAATTATTGCAAATTAGGACCTCACAGAGTACAAAACTGTCCTAAATAGAAAGCGGGTGGTAAGCCACCTAAGAAAAATAAACAAAAAGACAACGTAATAATGTAACCTTAATTGCTGTTCCAAATGATGTGCTGTACTGCGAGAGTGATAAGAGTAGCTGGTATGCTGGTATATCGCCAACAGTGTAACAAATCATGTCACCACGCAAAGTGATTGGTTGGAAGGTTATGTGTCATTTGATAGTAATCACCAAGTTACCACAACAAACGGAAATTTGGTAGCAGCCCTGGGTCATGGAATCATAACAGTAGAATCCTGTGTGAAAGGAAAGAAGCATCAGCTTTTACTGGCAAATGTATGGTACGTACCCAGTATAAGGAAAAATTTGTTTTCAACGTTATCCACACAAGATTGCTTGAGCAAATTAAGCTTCATGTTCCTGGAAGACAAGTAAGACACAAATATCTATTTCTTCTTGATTTTCACAGAACACAATTTGGTCTGAACTCTCCTCTAAAGTAGGAGTCTCTCACTGAAAAATCAGAATAGTTTCGAAGTTACTGGGATAACTAAAGGCAGGTTTATCAAGTTGTTTGATAGAGTGGTTGTGTAGGAGTTATGATAGTTGCTAAAGTTTTTTTTTTTTTTAAAGATAATTCCCCAAGTCAAAAATTTAGTAACTATCTTGGCAACACAAGCCTTTTCTACATAAAAAAATTGAAGCATTGACAATTTTACATTGTATTGCCAACATAATGTCATTTTGACTTTTATCTTTAAAAAAAAAACAGACTTTATAGTCGGTACATTTTTGAGTTTCTTTAACTTCAGAGATAGGAAATTATAATGAATTATAGGTGTAATTTTAGCTAATCACATTTATTTAGTTTTGTAAAAATAATATATTTTGTTGAATTATAATATTGAGGCGGAGGTATTCCCTTCAATAAATAAATAAATAGATAAATTTGGAAATTACTGGAATAACTAGGTACTAAAAGCAGGTTTATTGAGTTATGTGATAAGGTGGTTATGTGTAGGAGCTGGAATTGTTACATTATTGAGTTTCCTTATATTATTATATTATATTATTATATTAGCTTTGGTAATATGAAGTTAAATTGTTTAATTATAGGTATTGATAATTAAGGCTAATCACATTAGGTTTTGTATACATAATATATTTTTTTTATTTATTTATGTACGGGATTACCCTATTAAAAGCAACAATCATACAAAATATATAAAAAGATAGAAATTCGGAAAGTGAGTTTGTTTCGGAGGCCGAACATTGCAGTTTTCAGTTATATGGAGAAACCGTTCTAGTGGGATCTAGGAATATTTCAGGAGGCTTATACAAGTTGGATATGGAAAGCATAAGGCCGTCTTTGCCAAAAGAAGTTAATTTGGTCAGCGAAAACAATGTGCTACAGCTATATTTGGATATCAAAATAGGAGACATGTAAGGGCCGTATTGAAGCGTGAACTGGACATAGAAGTCAAGCTTGATAGTGAATTTTATGAAGGCTGTTTATATGAAAAAGCTCATGTTTTGAAACCTGGCACTAGAGTACAAGCCAAAGTAGAGCTTATACACAATAATGTGTGTGGACCCTTCTACAGGTCATATTCAGGCTCACTATTTTGTATTGTGTAAAGATATCTTCAGCAGGTACCATTTAATCTTCTTTATCAAGCACAAATCAGAAGTGCTAGAGAAGCTAACACTTGTTTTAGCTGAAATTAAACTGGCAAAATATGGCACAAAGAAGCTTTTATCGGGCAATGGTGGCGAATTCAACAATAACGAAGTAAGAAAAATTTTAGGCCATCATGGCATAAGACAGAGGTTAATCATGCCATACATACCACAGCAGAATGGCTGTTCCGAAAGAGGAAATAGGATTGTTGTGGAAACTGCAAGAGCTTTGATGCACGCCAGAAAAAGAATATCGGAAAAATCATTTTGAGCAGAAATGATCAATAAGTATATCTGTATATATCCTGAACTGGGTGGATCAAAAATCTCCTTTTGAAGTTTGGAATCATAAGAAGCCTAACCTGAAACATCCAAGAGTAATAGGTTGTACTCGCTACGCTCATATTTCTTAAAATAGACGTAAGAAAATGAATAAGAAAGCTCTTAAGGGTATTTTCCTAGGTTACGAAAATGATTATAGATACTGAATTTAGTCAATAGAACAAAGAAAACTTGTTAGATCAAGAAACGTAATTTTTGATGAGTTTAAACATTTAAAAACTCAAAAACAAGTGAAAACTAACAGTTTCCCTTTGCTACCAATGAAACTTGTTATAGGTGAAGAAGAATTAAAGAATTCATTAAATATTGAACCTAAAGATCAAATAGAACAAGAACAGGTCACAACTCAGTAGTGCTGCTAGTAAGAATATGACACTCACTCAGTTCGATGTATTTACTGCATTTCTCTATCGAAAACTAAATGAAGAAGTCTATATGAAGCAACCAGAAGGGTATATGAAGATGGAAGTAACATGGTTTATAAACTTCAGCACAGTCTTTATGGACTAAGGGCGGGTATTATAAAACTATTTTGACAGGAGAACTAACAGTTAACTTCTGGAATGACGTTACTTCTCATAGTTATTCGAGAAGTTAACCTCTAGTTATCTGTCAAAATAGTTTTATACATAATACCCGCCCTTAAACAAGCACCTAGATGTTGGAATCAAAGATTCACCGATTACATAGAAGTTCTTGGTTTTAAAAGATCAGATGCTGACCCTTGTTTCTTTATGAAGAAAGTTGAAGAAGACACATTTCTACTAGCGTTAATGTAGTGATGATCAGGGCCGTATCTGGGTAGGGGGGGGGGGGGGGGGGTTTGGGAAATAATGGAAAAGTGCTCTTCGATTTAAATAAACTAATTTCTTATTTCAGCTGGCTGGATTCCTCCCTTTCAATTATGGAACAAGGCATCAGAGAGCACGACACATTATGTCTGAGATTCAAATTTTACGTTTTCTACGATTTAAATCCAAAATACGACGCCATAAGAATAAATCAGATTTACGAACAGGCCAAATGGCAGTTGCTTAATGAGGAGATTGATTGTACTGAGGAGGAAATGTTGATGTTTGCTGCATTACAGGTAAGTCTTATAATAAATAATATAGGCAGGACAATAAGAACTATTGTCTTATTTGACATAAAAAGGATTTTTGAAAAAAGTTTCCTTTGCTGTTCCATGGATTTTGTCCATGTGTTTACTGCATTTTGCTGGTTTACACTTCCAGTAATATTCGGTAAAATAGATCTAATATCTTCGACAGTTGGTTCAATTATTTTGCTTTTTGATGATTGAGAAAGCATATACTCATTAAAATTCGTTGTTTGGCTTTCATTTTGATTCTCAGCGGTTGTATTATTCGTTTGTAAAACATTTTTGTTTTAGCTTTTAATTTATTAAAGGTAAGCTGTTCTTGGCAGATTAGATTTAATGTTTTCGGTATTTTTGGTTGTTTGGAACATCTTTTGTCGAAAATAATGTCTTTTGAGGCACATGATTATTTCTGAAATTTACGTCCAACGCTCTTTCATTCACCACTGCGATTTCATCAATTTCAAAACTATGGTTCACAATAGGCTGAGCTTTTATTACTAAATCACTTATATTGGATTCTACATTGTTATTCTCTGCTAGATAATTATCGTCGCTAACTTTATTACAGTCTGCACATAATTTGAATTTACAACAGCTGAACCAATGGCACAGCCCCATTTTCGACTTATACTGAAAGTGCATTCGGTAATTGTTGGCAAACTATCACTCGAGAATTATCTGTGCATTTCAGAAGATTAGATTATCTGTGTCTATTCTCAGCTGGGATTTTTTTGAAGGGCTCTGTAATAGTACCGGAATTTTTGCTTTACTTGAACTTGTAGGTACGAGTCCTGGATTTCTAGATTCCAAATGGAAGAATTTACTTGAAAGTAGAGAAATGAACTTTAAGGATTACCTTCTAAAGTATTCTCAATCTGATCATATGCGGATTAAATGTATTGCTTATCTGGTACCTACTGAGTGATAATAATTGAAACAAAATATACAAAATATTTATTATAACGTTAATTCATAATGCGAGTAAAAGAAACTAAAAATTCAGGATAAAAGCAGCCATCTTCAAACTTAATGTATTCCTGGTTGTTTTTACTAAGAGCGGTGTGGCCTATGGGTGGCAGTACCATACCAGGTATACCCATGCGAATATCATTTTCATCTTTATCAATTAGTACTTTAGCTACTATCATTTTGAACGGCGGTTTGTGTTTTATGCTAAAAAATTATATTTGGAATTTTTCATATACGCAAGCCTTGTTAGGGCCATACAAAGGACAATCCCAGTTGCTCAATTTATTTTAGCAGTTGGGCTACTGGAATTGTCATAAGCTTTGTACCTGAAATGACTGGCAAATAACGGATTGTTAGCAAAATACACTCCACGTCCAAAAGTATCTTCCTGCACCCTTCTCCAGTCAAAATTATGTGTTAAAATACCATGAATTGATGACTCTCTGGTACCATGATACAGATGGCGTTCGTGGAGCAAAGTTTCGTATTTTTTCTTGTTGAGCGCATATTGTAGCATCAAATAAGGATTCCAAACTCTTACTGCCCTTGTTATAACAAATTGTTCATTAAATCTTTTGTTCCTGCAAGAAGGTAATGAATTTCACATACAAATAATGAATCTTAGATGCTTGAATGTGCTGCAACAGACTTGTTCTTTGCCATTCGATCTAAATTATTTTGGATTTGGCTCGGTAAGTTTACCTGAATAAATGCATCCTTAAAAATCTCTCAGACTTGGCATCCAGTTCTTCCAAAATATACGCTCGGTTATCTGGTAGACGTGGTTGATGACGAATATCCATTACTGGCCAAAGGTCCAACAAAATATCTTCTATTCTATTAATTATCGTTTTGTTAGTTTGTAGCCTATGTAGCTCCCTTTTCAAAGCATCTGGCATTAATTTGCTTGTTGTCTCTCGGTTACTAATTTCACTTGGTGTTCTGCTGATTTGCTTTTCATATTGGTAATAATGGGTACTTCTAGATGTCGAAGCATCAACCTGTTTATTATTTGGTCCTAAAGCATCTGGCCTACTGATTGGGGCTAAGGATTTTGATTTGTTTGTTGCCGCTTGTATGTCTCTTATATCAGTTTCAAATGATATCAAATTATTTTGGTTACTTTCTTTAGATGTAGGTGCTTCAAATTGTGTTGCAATATTTCGCGTTTCCCTGGCGTTTCTTTGATTTTTACCATATTCTTCAAAATTGTGCTTAAATTAAATGTAGGTAATTAGTATTTTAGGTTCCAAATAAATTCAATCATTACTCACTCTGCTAGTCCTAGTTTCTGTTTCGGTACCAGATCTGGACAAATTTCTATTATCATTATGAGGCAATATATCTTCATTATTGCGACAACAACCAAAACAATTACCCATTTTTTACACAAGAAGCCTGATAACATTTATGTGGTGTGACCTTCCACCAGCTACAAACAATAATAACCCATAAAAATATAAATTTTTTGCCTTATCACAAATCACGGTAAAGTGGGGTCTCAACAAGGCAAATAATAGCGGGAACCTTCGATTATCCAGTAGAGTAGAGTGTTGCTGAAATCATATATTTTTGGCCATTCATTGGCTAACCTAAATAAAGGTCCATGCATGTTTATGGCTTATGTTTAGAATAAAAACTGTCTATTCTGCCATTAAAAATAAAAACAATAAAAGTTTTGCAGCGATATTTTGTAGAGATAAGGTGAAATAATTGGGAAATTCCGTATACTTCCGCATATATTCGGATAAAACCGATATTTAGCAAAAACGTTTTTATTTTTTCTTGAGCCCATTTGAACAGATAAATAGCACTTCATCGTTGCCACTTTTTCTCCTGTACAATACGGAGTTATGGGTTAGGCGCTGCGAATAATTTTAAAAAAAGGAATCTCAGTGGGAAGGTTTGGCTATAAAATTGCGGCCCTGTAAAATTGCTATAAGAGCAGGGCCAGGGCCGTATCTAGGGGGTTTTGGGGGTTCAAAACCCTCCCAAAAAATAATAAAATTGAAAAAATTTAACTTAAAAACAAACAGCACTTACCAAATACTTATTTATTTTTATTACTAGTGTAACAATTTTTTTTTGCCACTTTGTCTAACCCCCCCAAAATTTTGGTCTAGATACAGGGTAATAGTAAAGTAGAAAAAATGCGGGTTTTTCCTTGAGCTTATGTTAGGGCTTTTCTTGACAGAGTGCTCCGCACAAGATTAAAGTTTTATGTGAAATTAAACTTATACCGAACCGATTTAGTGTGTTATTTGTTGGCTTTTTTAGTGTTCCCAGTTGTTTTCCAACTACGAATGCAAGAATAGATACACGACCCGCAAAAGAGGATCGTTTCACGTCGGATTTTAAATTTGATAACTCAGGGGTCAGTTTAGTTGGCCCCATAGAAAATTTCTGGATGAAAATTATCCCATAATTTTGCTCTCATTTTGCTCCACTAATTTCGATTTTTGCTCCATTACAGTGAAGAAACTATGTGGCCTATTGGGTGGGGGGAGGGGCTGAATTAAAGCTAGCCCCCTCCCAGTGAAAATTCAGAAATTTGATCATGCTCATTTTGTTCTCCGAGTTTTGCTCCATTACCAGCGTCCTTATTCTTGAAACAGAGGAGCAGCGTTTCCCAGGAGAACGAGTGTTCTGTCTTTCTCAATGGAATGGAAATGATAATATAATTAACAAAGATGGAACACTCGTTCTCCTGGGATCGCTGCTCCCCTGTTTCAAGAATAAGGACCCAGGAGAGATCTACAGAGCTCCCAAAAATCTCTCCTAATAGCCTGTTGACTAGATAAGGACAACAAATAATGCGTAGGAGTTGTGTGTGTTCGCGGTCGCACTCCTTCAGTCCTTCCAAGATTTTTGCGGCGGACTATACTCATTATATTATTTGCATAACTTTAGGCCTTTTCGGAAACGCTGATCCGATTGAGCCGATGTAGACACTGATAAGTATTAGGTTTGTTATAGTTCAGAATCAGTTCTTAATTGAGCTGCGCTTGCGCATTTGTTTATATATGTTTGATATAAACAAATGCGCAAGCGCAGATCAATTAGGCACTAGCTGACGCTTATGGCGTTTCCGATTGGTAGATTCAGTGCGCACTGAGTGTATTTGCATCTTTTTAAGCGACCTGTAGAAGAAAAAGACAGAAATAGAAAAAATTGCACTAGTTCCGCACTAGATCTACCAATCGGAAACGCCATTAGAGAAGAGCTGACGTCACACACATAACCTTACTTCCGTTGGGGGGACAAACAAAGCATTTGAAAGATCTATTTAATAGCGTTTCCGATTGGTAGATCTAGTGCGGAACTAGTGCAATTTTTTCTATTTCTGTCTTTTTCTTCTACATTTCGATCGAAAGGATGCGAATACACTCAGTGCGCACTGAGTCTACCAATCGGAAACGCCATAAACACACAGGTGCTAGCTTGTCACTAATGACATAACGTGACTTTGGATAGGGGGACAAACATGTCATTGAGGTTATGTGTTTGACGTCAGCTAGCACCTAATTCAGAACTGATTCTGATCTAAGTCCGAACAAACCTTATAGCTTTGTTTGTTTATTTGCACCAACATGGCACCAAGCGACACTTTCTACACCAATAGTGCGGCAGCTTAGCTAGGATATTTCAACATATTGTGCACTTTTTGATAAAGGCACCAAATTTGGCACAGAGGTAGACCGATGTAATATGCGTTGTGGAGCCATCGGCCAACTTCCCCCTCGGCGGCTGTGGCGGCGATTTTTTCAAATGGTCGCCAGTGGACATTCCGAAAGACATCCGTAGTAAGATAAAGTTTGCTACTGAAGGTTTTACTGAATCTTTACTGATTGTTTTGAATGAAAAAATGCACGAAAAACTTTGGTTTTCTCAGGCCTCGTCTCAGGTTTTAGATGATTAATCAAAAATCGCTCGGACACGTTATTTTTTGGGGAAACATTTTTATTAATATTTCCATCCTCTACCTGTTAACCCCTAAGCGGGGGTGTTAGGTAGGGTACCTAACACAATTTCAGATGAAAAGGGGGCAACGAGCCGCAATTTTGACTGGGTAAATAGTAGCAACTAAAAATTTCGAGGATAAAAATCTCAATAATCTCTATCAAATAGACCTTTTCAAATTAGAATAATTCTGTTGCGCATGCGCAAAACATTGTTGCCAAGTGTCGGTTTCTATCACGCTATACAGGAAAGAATCATGAATAATTTCGATTTCATTAGAACTGAGATTCAAATTCTTTATTATCAATTAACCTTATATTTGATGCAGTCAAAGACTCAAGCTATTTATTGAAAAGATATATTGATGGTCATTTTGTAAAGTTTTTTTTTAAACCTAACGCGCTTCAATTTGTACAAGCCGGCAACATCGCACAATTTCACTGTCATTTCTTCGATCAGCTGATTATTGTTTTGCGGTCCATGTTACACGTTTATGCATGGGAAAATATTGGAAAAACCTATTTAAAAATTAGTAAAAGCGATGGGGCACACAAATATTGTGTTTTTGGAAAGTTTAATAAGTAGTGACAGCAGAGTTGGAAGACCGGGATATTCCGAGGGATTAATTTTTTACCGCTTTCCCTGGCCATGTCTTCAACGTAAATTCCTTTTAAGTTCCAATACGCTATTTTTCTCTACAATCTCATTACGAAAAATTGCACCCGGCACATCTGCTGCTGATAATTTAACGTTTTTAAAAGGCATTTGGGCCAGTTTAAATTGGAAAAGGTAGCAATCACAACTTTTTTATAATACTTGCTATGCTTTTTGGACCGCAAAACAAACAGCCAACATAACCCCACTTATTTGACGCGCAAGCGCGTTGTGGACCTTGAAAAGGTCTATTACGTATCACCCGACCCCTGTTTCTGTTCGAAATTTTGGAGGTACAGTTGTGAGCATAAAAAGTTGTACACTTGTCTGACGGGTCTTGTCATTTTTCGCTATTATGGGTATATCAGTATTTTCTCTACAATGGATTTTTTGTCAAATATGACAATCCCTGTTATTGCCGTAGGTAAGGCTGATGAGCTCGTTTTACAATAGGAAAAAACGGGTGTATCACTTTTCATGCTCACGACTGTACCTGTCATTCTCGCTTAAGGGTTGACAGGTAGTAGGTGAAAAAAATACCAATAAAATGGTCGAGTGATTTTTGATTTATCACCTTAAGGCAGGCCGCACATCAAAGAAACATGAAACGTGAAACATCAAACATGGAACGTAAAACATGAAACAATAAATTACGAAAAGCGAAACCGTTTCTTTCGTGCATACTAATTGAAGAAACAAAAATAATTCTTGTTTCTTGTCGCAAATATAATTATTATATTTGCAAAGTCGTTTCAGGGTAGTGAAGTGTGAAGTAGAGTGTAGTACACAATGGAAAGTGAGGACGAGGTTGTTGTTGCTGTTGTGGCGTCTCTTTTATTATCATCAAAAAGCAAAAAAAAAGGAAACTACGTTACTGGGTACATCCATACAATAATATAAATCATAAAAGAAAAAAAGATGGCTGACGATAAAGATATAGAAAGAGCATCGGGCGATAAAAATAGTGAAAATTTAAGTGAAAAATCTAGTGTAACCTGTGTAGCATGTGGGAAAAAGTCAAGCAACACCATAGAGTGTGGAAAATGTAAGAAAAATTACCATTCTTCGTGCATGATACAAGCAGCAACAAGAAAATCCGCAAAATGCCGTCATGTCCCAGAATACGCTATAGAAGACGCCTGGACGCACGAAAAACAACTCTATGAGATGATCATCAAACTATTAGAAGAGAAAAATCAAGTACTACAGGAAAACAACCGTTTAATGGGTGAGAAAATGCAAGAAATGGAGAAAAAGCGAAAAATATCCAAAAGTGGGGTTAGTGGCATGCCAGACTTCCCGCCATCAACAAACCCGCCTTCGCCGAAAAATGGAAAGACAAGTGGCGACGTTGCCGGTTTGCCACAGGTCAACGGAAAAATCGCAGAACAGGTCGGTGCAGTCGGTGCATTTGTTGGTGAACGCACTCTACAACCAGTCAAAAGCAGTTCAGCAACAGCTCGTACAACTACAGTGAACATAGTAGATCTGACAGCAGACAACCAAACGACAACAATGACAGGGACGCAGGAAAACGCAGCTGGGCACGAAAGAAACAAAAACAAATTGGCAAGAAAAGTCATCGAAAATTCAAACAAAGAGGACATAGAAACTGAGAAAATCGCGGAAATTCCACCCAAGTCTCCATGGCGCACAGTGTCCTACAAAAGGAACAACAATCACAGAGAAAACCCTGTAGTAGGAGGATGCAAAAACTTCATCCTACAGGTAGCAGAGAAAAAGGCTTATTTGTTCCTGAGTGGGCTCTCACCAGTAGTAAAAGAGGAAGAGCTGCAAGAATACATAAAATCCTGCACACAAGTAGACACAAAGTGCTATAAGATGAAAACAAAAAGCAGTCAATACAGAGGCTCGTTTAAGATTGAAGTAAAAGACTCTGAAACAAACAAAATAATGATCCCAGATATCTGGGGAGAAGAGATTATTGTGAACCATTTTTCTCACACCCGACGAAGCCCGATACAGAGGGCTCATTCCAGTATTCAAAACAAGATCAACTTATCCCAGAGACAACAACAGCAGTAGAAGAAGAAAATATTAAAATAATCCAAATAAATATCCAAAGCATTCGAAACAAAATACATGAATTTGAACAGCTGGTAAATCAAAATCAGTCTAGCATAATATCTGTCTGTGAACACTGGCTGAAAAAAGGGGAATTGGAGAATGTCCACATAGAAAACTACAAGTTAGGTTCTGCATACTGCCGAGATGATGACACTGATGGTGGTGGTACTTTACTGCTATTCAACAACACACTATCATCAAAACCAGTCAAGATTAATGTGCAGAGCAATCAAAAAGTCTTTGAATATTGTATAAATAGTTTCATGATAAACAAAAAAAAAATCATTATAGCAAGTATATATCGTAGTCCACAAGCAGATGCCAACATTT